TGTGTGCTTCCCAGCAGTAGGGTTGCCAGTGTGTAACAAATGTTCCTGATGTGAAAAATCACATAAGAGAAATTTTTCTCACAAAATTTATGCAAGTGCCCAGGTTACTCTTAGTCATCATTGTAATCTCTAGGCTGTCTTCCTTAAAAGCATGTATGTTCCTAGGTGGTTTTTTTTTTTCCTTTTCTGTGGTCCAGAAACGCCTCAGGATAAAGCATAATGATTACATGAGCATGTATAATGAGAATGTTCCTATTTTGAGACCTTTGGTAAGAGGAGACAAAGACATGAGGATGCAGCTGCAGCAGAAGTGGATGTGAAAGCGTGGCAACTGCAAGCAAGAAGATGTTGTTTTCATCTCAGTTGCACAGTGGGAAGCACTTCATTCGATATGTTTTCTGTTCTCCTTACTTAGAAAGTTTTGAACCTACAGGCTTTTGGGGTAAAAGAGAAGAAGACCCATTACAAGTAAAACAGAGAAGACCCATTACAAGTAAATAAAGACAAACTAAACACCACTTGAAGGACTAAAGTTTTTTCTGAATATATTGAGATGCTGAAATGCATCTCACTGTGAGAGACGCACAAGACACAGAATCAGTCACTCTGGTTCTGAAAGTACTGCTTGGCTATTGAATTTTTCATCTGTTTTGTGAGAGGATTTCATGCTTTCCAGTTTTTTTCTGCTAAAGGGCATTCACAACAAACAGTGTTCAGGAAACATAGCTTTCTCTGATAGCACAGGCAGAGACTATTCATAAGTTTTTGACAAAAGTGCCAGAATAGCAAGGAGTAATGTGTTTGGTCTTTCAGGCTCCTGCATGGAGTGGAGTTGCTGCAGTGCCAATGCTGGGAACCTTTTGATATTTATTGAGGAATAGTTTGTCCCTCCAAGCAGAACAAATCTGGTGTTTTGTGTGTGTTAGACAGTAGAAAGATCAGAAGCAAAATTAGGTTTCACAAACACTTAAGGTGGTGATTTATCTGTTTTCTAACAGATAAGAGTGAGGAACACTGACATTAAATGTGGACTGTGGCACCTGCTACAACTGAGCACCTTGAAGCATTATTTCCCTTGATTCTCAACACAAATTGTTTCAGGAGAATTATTTGTTCTTTTCCTGTCATTTATTTAAAAAAATTCCCACCAGATTCTGAATCATTTTCCCCCAAAGGGATGGCTATGCTGTCAGCAAAAGAAGACTCAAAGATTACAAACTAGCTGTCTTTTAGAGAAAATGCCACTTGTAGTTTACTTGCCGTTGTTTTGTCTGGGGACATTTACCTGAATATCTGATACATCATTAATTGAGTTTTGCTTTTGGCTGTAGTCAGTTTTCACAGGCAGAGCATTTCCTTCCCCCATGCATGCCTGAGTCATCTGTTGTGCATTGTGGGTGATCCTGCAGGCATTTCAGAGGCACATATGAGAGGATTAATACTCCCAAAACCTCCTTAACAATGTCTTGGCGCAACAATGGCCTGCAAAGTTAGTCCTGGTGACGGAGTGCTATCTGGGATGCCAGCCATAGCCTTCAGTCTCCGAACTGGTAGATGAGCCCTTCTGGGACATGCACCTGCCTTCCTACTATTGACCCTCTGCAGACAGCTTCCATCCCTGCCCAGTTGCCTTATACTTATGGCAAAAAGGGAACTGGGGTAGTACAGAACTTTGTGATTTGGAAATCCGGCACTGGTCTTTTGGAACTGTGCTCCATTAGTCTGGTGAGCAGTCACGCAGGAGAAAAATCACAACAGTAATTTGGAAACTCAAAGAAGCAACTACACTCAGGCATTGGCAACATGGCAACATTATCTTTGTCTTGGATAAAGCTGGAGCAAAATGGGTTTAGTGAAGCGGAAGAAGATGTTGGCAGCAGGAGGAGGAGGAGTGGATTTGAGAAAAATAGATGCTGTGCACACTGTAATTATTGTTTACTCCGTGAAGAGGCATGAATAATGCTGTGCTTAACAGATGCAAAGAGATGCCAGAAAGGTAGATATTTTCCAATGAATGTGTTAGAAAATGTAAAGGTAGAAACATATGAAGAGCAGAGAAATTCTGTATCCTTATTTGGATGTAGGCCTTAGAAAATACTGATAAAAGAGAGCCTCAGAAATGAAATTGCAGAAATCCCTTAGAACATTAATGAACAAAATGGCATTTCTCTCAAGCATAGCTGCAGACTACTTTGAATAATGTCTGTCATATGTTGGGAGTTGAGCTTAAGTTTTTGGTTATATGGACCTATAAATGGACTTACATTTTGCAATGTCAGTTCTAAGCCTCTTGGGGTAGTCCCTCATCTTTCAAATATACTTCGAGAACATGCTGTGCTAGTGCAGTGTAGATAGAAAAAAACAAAGGTAAAAACCCTTAATGGTAAATATTATGTATATAAAGGATGTATTTTTAGATAACTAAATTTTAATTATGGCCACCAGATGGATGGATAATGGATAATGATCATTATCAGCTGATTTTCTGTCTGACAGATGTTCTAGATTTGTCTAGATTTGCATACTTTTTTAATCAAGTGCATAAATCAAAATTCACTCATGCAGAGGCACGTCAGACTGTGTCCTTCATCATTTTCCTGGGTTGTCTAGTATTATGCAGTGAAGGGAGATTACATCAGAGGGGAAGGAGATGTGCTGGAGAGGAAAGGGACAGCTTTGAAACAAGTGCAGAAGTGCAAACTGTACTGCAGAAGAGAGTAGCTTCATATGGCATGAGCTGTAGACCAGATTTTCTCCATTTAAAAAGTAATAATTTAGGGGCCAAAACATCCATGCAAGAGTAAAAAGTGGGGAGATGAAAAGTCCCAAGGCAGGCTTGAGAAAGTGTGTTTTAATGTTAATGTCATCCTGTAGGTCTTACTGAACAGCAGCCTACTCACAACAGTACTTTTGGCTCCACCATATTAATGAAATTAAATTCATTATGAAATTAAATGGGCAGGAAATGCAAGCATGCTGGTATTTTGGCATTGAGAGTTATTTTGACAATTTTACTAAACAAAAGGAAACCCCAAACATTTTCTGTTCTGAAGTGTAATTTACAATCTCTTTACTTTCTGTGGTGAGCATATGAGGAAAAGGATTTAGGACACCTAGAGTTTAATAAATATGAACACCCCCAAAAGCCATGAGGCTGTGTATATAATAATGGATTCGTTCTCCTTCTTTTCATATTTTGTGGCCAGTGCTGATCTCACACTCTGATAGTATAATGCTAAATCTAACTGAGAATGTCAAGGCATGTTTGACTATTGGACTGGATCATCTCAAAGGTCTCTTCCAACCTTGATGACTGCATGATTTTTACTTGTTTTCTGAAAAATGTTATTCTTGAATGCCCATGTATAGCTTCTACATTTTGCCACTGATGGAAAAGTTTCATTTGGATTTGACCTGTTTTCCTGCAGAGCAGGAACCTTCTGCTAAATTTCCAGGTGAGACCTTTCCCTTACTGCCCTTAGTTCAGGCAAGCAGTTTATTTACATGTTCAGGTCACCTCTCAGACTTAGCGGTCCTACTTGTGCCTTTGTTTCTTGTCAAGAAGGATTCATTTCTTCTATTAAAAGGTACTTAGAGATACAAAGAAAATTAAGAAAATTTCTTCTTGGATTTGGATTGATGAAAGACACTTTGGTGGAGAAAATATTTGTGTTAGAAATGACAGGTTAGTGTCAGTAATCTCAGTTCTGCCTTTCCTTCCTGCACATCAGAGCAAGTAATGTTTGATATCTATTTGTATAATTTTTTTTTTCTATCCATGAAATGAAAGCAATAATATTTTCCAAGCATGGCAGAATTTTAAAAGGGGACTGTAATGCTCTGCATCTTATATGATCAACACTAACATGATTGATGCTTTCCATATCCAGTTCTTAGTCTAAATACAGCCAGTTGTCAACCAAAAGCTGACAGCCTTCAGTCAGATTGGTCTCCAGTACCATCTGTATCCCTTCCTACACAAAATGTTGACCATATTTATACAGAGACAACATTCCTGCTCCCACATGGCAAGCAAAACTCCATTCATATGGAGCAAGTAACTATTGTTTTGAATTGAGTAATGGATACCTAATTATTATAAATTGGTCTGTTAACTATCACATTATTGTGTAAATTGATTGCATTATAGCCTTTTGGGACTGCTAAGGGCAGTTTTCACACTCTGTGTGCCACTTGCAGCCAAGTATCCTTCTGGTCTAGGTGTTCACACTTCATCTGTTGATAGTGACCATGCAAAAGCCTCTGAGCCTGATCGAAAGCCCATTGTGGTGCTCAGTTTTCCCATTCTGCTCAATGGGCTTTGAGACAGGGATCGCAGGAGCAGAATACAGTTGGTTCCATTATTTCCAGGATTCAGTTATTTATTAGATAGAAGTCACATGCTTAAGTGAAAGTTAAACCAGGCTAACAAGCAGCAGAGGAAAACAAGTGGTTCGATATGTGAAGGTTAAAGAAATTCTACAAAGAGTTTCATTTTGTGCTTTGAGGGGTCATTTTATGTAGTTTGCTTCTTTGTGAAATGAGATCGTTCTAACAAGATTCTACATAAGAATCTGAACAAGATTCATAATACGGAAAACATGCTTTACTTCACACAGACTGTATGACAACAGACTTTTAGTTTCTTCCAAGTGGTTGTATGGCAAAATGCTTAAAAAAAAGGGAATAGTTTGTAGTAAAAGGACGTAGAGATGGCTGGCAGAAAGGGCTGTTGCTGACCCTGTTCACAGGTTTCTTGTCGGTGCAGAGTTGTTCATTGTGCTAGTCTGATGTGCAAATGGCACGGGTAAGGACGCGCACAGACACTCTTCTATCCTCTTCAGGGGAAAAAATAAAGCTTAAACACTCAGTATTGAAATGTATTGTTTTTAATAACAAAAGAACCATTGGGCAAAGCCTCTGGCTATTGGACCATTGAGCAGGTGATTAGCATCCATCAGGCTACAGCTGTTTTCTCCTTCTGTCTGTTCCATATGCAGATGTTGCTATGAGGAAAGGAGTCAGCAATGACTGATGTAGAGCCTGTGGTCACAGATTTTGCCTCATCAGGACGGTCAGGCCGCCGAAACGCCTTACCAGATATCCTGGGCTCTCCTGCTGGTGCTGGGACTTCGGACCTGCCACACAAACTGGCCGAGCTCTCTGTTTCAGAAGGTAATGGCTGGGCATTCAGAGCAGGACATTTACATGAAGTCATCCTTTGTTTTTGTTTTTTTTAAGACTTCCACCACCATGAAGTTTTGATACCTATACTTCTATTCCTCTCATCATTTAAAATTAAATTCAACCTTCCAAAGTAGTTATCACTTGTGCCTCCAGATGAGACAAGTTAATATTAACCCATATCCATCCACAGATCCATTGTTAGCAGCTTAGGGAAACAGCTCAATGCTGGGAACTGGATTCCAGTTCCCTTAAGGGTGAGAAAACACAGTTGTGTGTCCGGGCAACTTGGAAAACACATCACTCCAGCTATAAATTCCAGTGTCCTACTGCACTGAGATAGCTTTGCATAAGACAGCAGAGCTGTGCTGTTGGTACAATGACAGCTCTCAGAATACACAGGCACATACATTAAGAGTAGTGTTTATAGTATTTTACTCCTACTTAGTAGGCTTTCAACTTTGTTATCTGAGACCAGTGCCCTGTTTTGCCATGTCCTCTAATTTGATAGGTGCTGTGTTGATATAGCACAGGTCTAATCAACACCAGCTTTGTGAGTTTTTTTACTTTCAGAGTGACTTCAGACAAATTTTCAGAAAAAAATCTGATTTTTAATGCCTAAAAAACAAAAAATATGGACTGGCCCTGAATATGGTCTGTCCCTACTTTTTTTAATCTCAATCAGATTTTTTTTCAGAAAACCTTTTCTTCTCCTGCTCATCACTGTTGCTGTTGTGGTGTCACCACAACAGATGGTCCCACATCCAGGAGCAGTGATGGTGTGAGTGCAGCAAAGGGGAAAGCAAGCTTGGGCTAAGGTGTGAACGGTCCATGAATCTGAACTGAAGTAGATCATTAAAGGGATTCCTAGTCTCCAGGGTTGTATATCCTCCTTTTACACTGCCCAGAGAAATTACAGGATGCTAGGTGAACAGCCTCCTAAAGCACAGTAAAGGGCAGGGAGAAGGATTTATTTGATCTCAAATTGTTATTTTGGTGATTTAATTTATAGTCATGTGTTTGGGGTTCTGTAATCTAAACCCCACATGGGCCTATGTACTGCTGAGCACAGAGAAAGAACATTTCTTGGAGGAGTAAGAAGGGTGGAATGACCATACCCTGACTTGAACCAGAAGAAGTGAGGAAAATAAGAATCTAAATGGATTCTGGAAGAAGGTACTATTTTGTATTGAGGAGACATTTTTTCCTATGAACATGAAAATCATGTCCCTACAAAACAAACACAAGGAAAGAGTGCAAGTCTTTCAATAAGAAAACTTATTGCATGGCATAAGATAAGTGTCTAGCCCTCCAGATGACACAATATTCCTCCTCTCCTGGTCTCCATCCAATTCATTAAGAAGAAGAAATGAAATGTAGCTATGTTCGTTTTAGCAAAATGTACTGATGCTTTCTTAGAAATACAGGGCCAGCACTGCCAGGATTTGAAGAACAATTAAGAACCTGGAATTGTCCTTGGCTTTTGTCATTGATGTATAGCTGTGCCAGAGAACGTTGGAATGCAGCACATTCTGTTATCAGCAGTTTACAGTAGTGATAATAAGTGAGTACAAAATGCAGTTAGGTCCACTCTGACAGCTTGGGTGCTTTCTGGGGATGGGAAATCCACAACTATCAGATGGGAATTTCAGCTTCATTGTGTTAAAGTTTTGATCAAGCAGCAAGCAAAGGAGAATTCATCAAAATGGAGAGACAGTTTTGAAGTTCAAATGTGGTGGCAGGGAAACAGTTTGTGAAACATTTGGGACTCCAACAGGCATTTCTTTTGCCTATTTCTGACTAACAATAAGTAGTTTAAAAAAGAAAGTCATTTGTAGCTCCGAACAAAGATTTTAGATAAATGAGAGAAGTGGAGAAGATGGAACATGTGGCTATATAAAGTATGCCCTATTTTGTTGCTACTCTCAAATTCAGACTTAGTGAAGATTGTGGGAAATGGTGAGGAGGACTCTCTCCATCTTGTTTCAAATTTAGCTACTGTTCATTGGATCATACATTTCCTCTTTCTAAAACACTGTCAGCTACTGTGAAAAGTCAGGAACAGGAAGGATGTGCTAATACTTGCTGGTTTAGAAGAGAAAAGAGACTGCTCTATTTGGTTTTGAATACACAAGGACCATACCTGTATGATGTAAATATTCATGTGCTCTGTAAGCCACATGGAGTTGACGTTCTTGTGAGATGAACAGAAGCTATCCTGGCACCAGCTATTTATCTTGGAGCCTAACTCTGAAATGCAGACCCTCTGTATCATATCTGATCCTCCTCTGGTGGTGTGTAAGTTTTGGAGTGCTGAGGCTTTCCACAGGTGGTCTGGAACCACGTTGAATAGTTGCTAGGTGTCACTGGTGATCCAAAGGTTGAAGAGGAGGCTGCAAGAAGTTTGAGAGCAAGAAGCTATACTGGTCTTCCACATTTAGTAACCTGTATTATGGCACCATTCTACCAATAACACTCAGCAGCTTAACTAGCACCTATTGCACTCCTAAGTGCCACCAAGTATGAGATTAGATTTCCTCTAACAAACTGTTTTCCTCTGCCCTGTCTGAAAGACTCCACTGATACTAGATGTCCAGCTTGCACAGAAAAAAGCCAATAGAGGATATTGCTCTGTCTCCCTTTCCACAACAGTGGTGTGCTACATAAGGCTGGAGGGTGTCAAGTGACTCAGCTCTTTATTGCTGTAGAACTCCAAAGCCTCTGAATCTCTGAGCAGACTTAAAACATCAAGTAGTTTCTGTCAAGGGCTTTAGCTGTTGAATTGTGTACAGCATTATATATTTGCTGTGATACGTAGAGACCAAGATATATAACTTTTTTGGGTATTTTTGATATTTTATAGCAAGTGAGAAAATGTATCCCTTAGATTATGACTGTGGAGGAGATGGAGGAGGATAAAGTGGAGGACTGTAAGGCCAGATGTGCTGAGCAGGCCTCTCCTTGTCCCCAAAAGCTATGGACTGCCATAGGTTTGGGTATGCTATTGCCACTGGTGCTACCATGTGGGGCTTGAAGGTAATGTGAAAATTATTATTATGGTTTGCAAGGAAACCAAGGCAAGAGGAGTTTCTGCTCAATGAGTAAACTTGATCAAAAGAAACAGCATGGAACAGTACATATGATGACCAGAAATACTGGGGGGCTTTTATTGATACCAGTCATGCAAGCATTCTACTCTAATCTGTGGAAAAGTGAACTTCCAACTCAGAGTAACAAAAAATCCTGTGAAGATAGGGTAAATTCACATGGGTATTTCTTGTCAAAGAAGGTCAGACAGAACACTGGCATGTCCATAAACTGAAATGTTATCTACCTGAGACCACACAGTGCTCAAAGGAATGTGACATTTTAATTTGATTTTGGAAATTACCCAAAAAAATAACAATAATACAAAGTCATTTCCAATCTATTTTTTTACAGACAAATGCAGATTGATCAGCCTGTACAAGAAGTGGGAAAATCAACATCAACAGATGCCTCTCAATCTCTTGAGTTAATCTCTCTTTCTAAAGCACCCATGACTGTGGTAGTAAAGAACCAGTCCAAACAGAGATAATCAATGAATCCAAATAAAAACACATTAAAAAAGCTGTGAGAATGTGTGTGGTATAAATGTTTAACTCTGTCTCTGTTTAGATGCAGGAGCAGAGGGTGGAGAAGAGTCATCATCCAAAGCCTTGCTGGAAAGTCAAGAGGCGGAAGGAAAACGCAATGATTCCTAACACCTAAGGACTCCTGGGTTAATGAATCCCATCAACAGACTTCCCAGTTTCCCTGTGTCACCCCTTCTGAAGTGTGGTAGCAACTTTAGCAGCACAGACATGACTTGGCAACACACTTGTACCTAGATGATTATGTGGATGGCATACAGTTCTTTCCACTGTCATCCTTATAAAGCAATGTTCTACATATCCAAATAGGAAGACAATTAAAGAATGTATCTCTTGTTTTCAGTTTTCTCTCTAGTTTTGGTTATAGTATTCATCCTAACTAATCTTCTTTGACAGTTCCAATTAATATACCTACCAGGAACTAATCATTGTTTCAAAATAAAAATTCTGTTTCTTAATTTCCCAAACCAGCTTCTTTCTCTCTGGCACAGAGATGTGTTCACTCCCCACAAAGTGATATTAAGTATATATTAGATTACAGACATTATCTGTAATTTATCTCCTGAGATTTTTCTTCTCATTAGACATATGTAGATGGGTGTGAGAAAAAAAAATTAATTACATAAAATAAAATTTTCTCCTACTCCTGTCGCCAGAAGGTTTTATAAACTACATAAACATCAGTGTTTGTTTTCAGACTCCCGTTACCTCTGTTTGATTATGGCAGATCATCTCAGTTCTCCCACTCTTAGCAGTCTCGCCACTTCGGCCATTTGTTTTCATGCTGAATATTGTAGCTTTCATGTGTACCTAAAGTAAAGTAGGTATGTTTGTATATGATGAAAATTGTTTAATCTCACTGTGGAAATTAAATACCTATAAACTTTTCTGTCTTCAGTTGATTTCTTAATGTTTCTCCTGTAGGACAACATTTAAAACCTAATAATGCATATTTCTTTTATTTCATCTGTGTTTTGCTTTCTTGTCTGCTGACAGTGAAAAATGTTTCAATCATTGTGATTTTTACAAAGATTTTAGGCAAAGTTTTTTCTCTACTGAAAGGACTTGTTTTGTTTTGGCAGTCATGCTCTTGAAAATACTTAGCATTCATTCCCTTGTTGTAGAAGACTTAAGATTCAGATACAAACATGAACCTCCATGATTCCTTGAGCAGCAGCTGCTTATGTACAGCATGAAAACGGCAGAAGCATCTCTGATGGTTACATCCCACATGTGACTGGTATTCCATCTATTTAACATTTGTGTAATCTAAACCTGGCAGAGAGCTTGTAAGGTGCAACTTTCATTCCTACTGTGCCTTTACTCATACCCTGGCTTTTGGGGACCATTCAATAAAGGATCCAGTTTAATTCAACTGAACTGACAATTAGTTCCCTCCTCTTAAACCTGTTTTCACGTAATAAGTGCAACATCCCAATTTTTTTCTCCAATTTCGAAAGGTAAACTAACCTATTCCACTGTATCAAAACAGGTGGCTTAAGAAAGTCTGAGAGAGTGAACTAGCTGACATTAGAGGACCAGAGCTGAAAACCGCAGTGGAGAGGGACTAGGAGATAACTGTATTTGTGGTACACACTTTTCTTCTGGGTTGTAGTCCCATTCTCCTGTACCAGCCTCCTTTACAGCATCACAGTACATAAAAATGGTAAATTAGAGGAAGCTGTGGTGATCCCATCAAAATCAAGATTATGAGTATTACTGAAACATAAGTCCTTATATGCTTTGCTCTTTGGGTCACAACCTATATCAAATTCTGCACTTCTTTCACACTTGCAGCACTGGATATATTTAGTTTCTTCTCTGATACAATACAGACATTGAAATTTGGGTTACAGGAATAGATACTTTAGGTACTTTGTTAATCTAAGCTAGTTTGAAATTTGCTGCTATAAAAATACCAATTATGAACCAGCTGAACTTAGCAAATTATTCATGTGCTAAATTCTATGTAAAAAATCCCCAATCTATAACTACATACATAAAAGGCATTAACTGCTCACAAATGTATGTTTTCATCTTATTGCAGGGGTTCCATACTGCTGTCTCCTTATCACAAAAGTTTCATATCTTCTTGGTATTTCTCATGGGCACCTCCTCAGAGCACTAACTCTTTTTTTCTTCACAAAGCAGCCAAGGGACTCCAGTTCCCTTCTGAAGGGGCCAACCCACTCTTTTATAGCACTCTTCTTCTCATTGGTTACAGCTGTGGCCTGTTAAAGTCAGGCCTGCTCCTAATTTTTGATAAGTGGCCCAGCTGCAACTCCTTAGGGGTAAGATTACTTTCTACATTATCTTTATATTCTTATATTCTATTCCCCTACAAATGTATAATTTATAACTAGTCAAGAATGCTCGACACCCTGGCGAATTTATTGTAAGCACTCAGTTGTTTACTTTGTACTTGAGCTAAATGAACCTGCCTTTGAAAATATGTTGCATATAAAAAAGAATTTTAACAGCAAATTTGAAAAAATGCAGTAGTAAAAACTAAAATTTAAAATGGAATTTAATTAAAAGCAGAATGAATTTAAAATTTTTAAAAGATCTGTAATATGTTATATGTGTATTATCTAACTGCAAATTAACCAAGTTACAGAAATGCAGAAATGCTTCTTTGCCATGTGCATGTACGGTTTGTGTCTAAACAAGTGTTAGTCTAGACTGCATGAGAGATCTCTTTTCTAGTCAGTTGTTGCAATAAGAATATTAAGTAATGCCTGAATTTTACTAAATTTCTCTAGTTATGAGCGAAATGCATACTTCTGACCAGTATAAACTGACTCACAAACTGATGGATGTGGAAGACATTGTACTGTATGAACTTTGGAGCACAGTTTATTAGTTGTGCATGATTCTTGCCTCAGGCAGAAGGGAGCTCACTCCTTTAGGGTGTCTGGGGGGCTTTGTGCCATGCTGTCCAGTACTCTGGGGCTTGGACAGAGTTCCTGTCTTAAGCACAGCTGAAGCTGGGGGAAGCTTTGGTTCATTTTCTTGTTAGTGTGCTGAAGACAGATAATAGTCCTACTAAACTTTGGCTGAGTCTAAAGAGCAAATGAAGTGCTTCTGAATGTTTGTCACTGAGCCAGTTTATCCAGTTTCAACCATTATGCTGGCTGTACCAACCTCCCTTAGTTCAACTAATAGGTAATTGAGAACGCTGCATTCTCTTGGTTCACATGGCCACACTGTTTTGGCCCTGAATCAACTTGAGTATTTTAAAACCTGCTTAACTTTAAATGCAGACAGGTCTCACAGCAGTCAATAGAACTACTTAGGTGCCTAAATTAGGTACATACTTAATTACCTTGATAAATGACAGCAGCAAACTTCTATTAAGGCTAATCTGGTATTATAATGCATTAATCCCAATTTCCATTCCAGCAAGTTTGGTACAGGTAATAGCATCTTTTTCATCATCTTACAGCACTATCCTGGGCTTTCACAAAGCAAAGAATTTCATTTTAGTACCAACTAAAAAAGGTAACTTGTGTCCATATTTTAGAACGTAATTGAACAATTATCCATTCTTAGCCACTCAGCATGCTAAAAAAAAAATGGCGGGAAGTGCCCTTGTAATTTTATTGTGCATATATAAAACAATTTCGATATTTTGAATATATAGAAAAATTGCCTTGATGTTTTCCATATATCATTAAGAAATTATAACTGCACTTGGTTACTTAAAAATTACAAGAGAGCAGTGGCTACAAGAGGCTTAAACTAGCGTTTACCACTACTATCATTTTACCTGCCACCATTAGTAGGCTAAATAGCCTTTATGTATCACGCACATAAAGACGAATACTTCAAGATTTAGCAAATTAATATTAGTTCATACTCCTCTCTTCTGTCTACTAGTGCTCCGTGTGTGATAAAGTCCATGGAAGAGAATTGAACAAAGACTTGTCCATGGATTTCTCCATGTATGTTCAGTGAGCATAAGCCCCAGAGAGTGGCGAGTGTGGGTTTCCCCTGGTCCAGACAGCACAGACCAGTGGGGCTGAGCCCACCGGGACCCCAGGGCACTTGCTCTGAAGTAGAAATAGCAAAGGCTTAAACTGTCCTGCCATCTAGTGGGGTCCTGCCTGCCAGTAGGCTGTGCAAGGCAGTGAGGGGAGACACGTTTGAGAGACCTCAAACCCAGCTGCCAGCTGGGCTGGTGAGAGGCAGAATGTCTCTAGCATGTCCAACATGTTCACTTCAGGAGTTTTGCTGTGGGCCCAGAACCTTGGTGCCTCTGTATACAGAAATATATGTGATTGCAAGCAGGAGGCATCTTGTGTTTCAACTCATAAATTCACACTGTAGAACAGGTGTCTGAGTCTGGCTTGCAGCCTACCTTGCTTTGCAAATCCCACCAGAGATAACTGTTTTCACCATTTTTAGGGGTAATGGTGTTTCATCTTCTCAACCTGCAGCTTTTCTACCTTCGCTAGTAAGTAGCAATGATTACTGAGAGCTCTTCCTTTACTGTCTTGGTTTTTTTCCCTCTTCTGCCCAGTGGGGACCATCCCAATGGATGTAAGCAACAGGAAGCCTGAAGGCCACCACTTCACCTTGGCATGTGCCACATCCTGATGCCAGATCTCTGGATTTTAGTGCAAGATTACATTTAATAAATAGTGTTGTGGGGTTTTATGGTTTTTGTTTGTGTGGTGTGTGTGTGTGTGTGTGTGTGTGTGTTTATTTCTTTTTGTTTGTTTGTTGGGGGGCAGGGGTTACCTGTGTGCTGTAGGCTTTTCTGTATTAAATATAATAATTACTTGCAATGTAAATGCCCTGATGTGAGGATTTAGACAATCCCTACCAGTGCTTTATTCCTGGGGCTCTGCTGTGCAAGGGTTGATGCTGTAAATCCAGAGTTTATCACACAATGTATGGGGAAGCTAATCTGTGAAAGACTTGACCCTACTGTGTAGGGCTTCCTGTGCTTTTATTTCCAGACTCCTCGGGCATGTTTATCAATGATATATCAGCAGTGTAAACCTATAAAGAAGGAGCATGTGAACTGCTGCTAATGCTCAGCAGTATTCCAAAAGCAGGTTCCCAGTAACGCACTCAGTTTCCTAAGGGCGCAGCAGCATTCCCGAGGGATGGGCTCCGCAGCCGTCAGGCGACACCACAAGATGGCGCCCGAGCCCGCGCCAGCCACACAGCCGGGCCCTTGCCTTCCTCACAGCCTCTGCGCCTTCCTCACAGCCTCTGTTCGTCCCCCGGTTCCCGGCTCCCCGGGCACGGCGGACTTCGGGTCTCCGTCCGGACCTAGTTCTTCGCATCGCTGCCCTGAAGAAGCGCGGGGGCAGTGGCAGCGCCGCGGGACGGAGGACGGGACTGCCCCGGGCGCTGGCGGCAGAGGGCGCCCTTGCCCTGGCGCGGCCTTCGCTCCAGCGGCTGCTCGTCCCCACACGGGCCCCGGGCGCCGCAATTCCCGCGGCTTCCCAAGCAAGGGGAAGGGGACTCAATAATCCAATCCTATCCCGTTCCTTCCTTCCCTCTTGATTTGTCCTCTTACACCGTTCAAAGCTTATACACCTGCTCCTTTCCTGTCTTCAGTGCTCCGCCCTTGCTTCACACACTCACACCTCAAGCCCAACATCCAGCGTTAGTGCTTTCAACACTCCATACAAGAAACTAATCTCTTTAATTACCTCCGTATTCACTAAAATAAGATGGTAGAAAGACATTTCAGTTCCTCTCACAAAGTACTGGGTAAATTTTAGTTTATCAGACAGATTCATGTGACACCCTTGAGCCAGGCCCAGAATGGCCCTTGTCTCTAACACAGAGACAGGGAAAGCTTCTGTGGAAAACAAATACCATGTCATTATGCAAGGAAAGGTGCTGTTGCAATCTAAAAAAAGTGCTGAAATAAGTTT